CTGTCTCGGCCTCTTGAGTAGCTGGGATTACAGGTGTGTGCCACCACGCCTGGCTCATTTTGTATTTTTAGTAGGGATGGGGTTTCTCCATGTTGGTCAGGCTGGTCTTGAACTCATGACCTCAGGTGATCCACCCTCCTCAGCCTCCCAAAGTGCTGGGATTATAGGAGTGAGCCACGGCGCCTGGCCTCCATTGCTGCTGCTTGAGCAGCCTCACCTCCAGGGTCCCCTCATCTGCACCCCTACCCCAAATTCCCTGTCCTCCCCATGCTCCTCGTGGGACCCCTCATGATGTGCGTAGCCAGTACCCTTCCCTCCTACACTGACGCGTGTAGCCTTCTGTGGCCATTCCTTTGTCCTTGTCATGATCCAGCCCCTCTGTCCAAAGCCCTCACTGCCCTCTCAGGGGCTGCCAGGACCGCCCATCCATTGAGAGACTCTCACCTCTCTCTTGCTCTGGTGACCTGCACCCACTACTCCATAAATCCCATTTTCACCTCTGCTGCACCTGCTGCCACCCCTGCAGTGTCTAAAGAACTGGGCAGGGCACGGCAACTCGAGCCCGTAATCCCAGCACTGTGGGAGGCTGGGTCTGGAGGATGGCTTGAGCCCAGGAGGTTGAGGCTGCAGTGAGCCCTGATCGCACCTCCGCACTCCAGCTGAGGTAACAAAGCCAGACCCTGTTTCACAAACTAAAAATAGAAAACTGTCAAGTTCAGCCCCTATGCCTGGCCCATGCCGGAACATCTTCCCCCCTGAGGGTTCCTGGGCACCAGCTTCCCATCATCATAGTCATCTCCTGCACCAATCATCTGGCCAACATGTCCCCAAGAAGATGGGGTGTCCGGGTGAGGACGTCCACCTGCTGCTACAGTGGACAACAGTCCCTCTCCCTCTGAGGCTAGGGACGTCCGCCCAACTTGCCTATTCAAGGACATTTCAAGCCAGGAGAGAACTCTTCTCTCTTCTCCACTGGCCTCATCAGCCTCTTTCCTCGATCCTCCCTTGTTGCAGAATTCCTCGATCCTCCTGGGTCCTCCTCAAACCCAGCAGTGCCCAATCTTCCTCCCCCCATCCCCAAGACCACTCCTGTCCTTCCCCGCTGTGGCTCTCTTGGTGCTAACCCCTGAGGGTCCCCTCCCCTTCTTTTTTTTTTTTTTTTGAGACAGAGTCTCACTCTGTTGCCCAGGCTGGAGTGCAGTGGTGCAATCTCTGCTCACTGCAACCTCCGCCTCCCAGGTTTGAGCGATTCTCCTGCCTCAGCCTTCCGAGTAGCTGGGATTACAGGTGTGTGCCACCACGCCTGGCTAATTGTTATATTTATTTATTTGTCTTTTAATGAATGATTGGGTCTCATGTTGCCCAGGCTAGCCTTGAACTCGTAGCCTCGCCTCTTCAAGCGCCAGGACAACTGGCCTGAGCTACCGCAGCTCCCTCATTTTAGTAGAGATGAGGTTTCACAATGTTGGCCAGGCTGGTCTTGAACATCTGACCTCAGGTGATCCGCCCATCTCAGCCTCCCAAAGTCCTAGAATTACAGGCATGAGCCACCATGCCCGGCCCTGGATAATTTTTAATTTTTTTGTAGAGATGGAGTCTCACTGTGTTGCTCAGGCTGATCTCTCTCTCTTTTGGCCCCAGGCTGATCTCGAACGCCTAGGGTCAAGTGATCTGCCCGCCTCAGCCTCCCAAAGTGCTGTCATTACATGTATGAGCCACTGCGCCCAGTCCCTGATGCCCTTTCTTTGCCCTGCACTCCTGCTCTGTCTCTCCAGCCTCCCGGCTGACCTCCTCCTCTACCAGGGCCCTTTCTCTGCCCACATTTATTTGTTTGTTTTTGAGATGGAGTCTTGCTCTGTTGCCCAGGTTGGAGTGCAGTGGTGCAATCTCGGCTCACCACAACCTCTGCCTCCTGTGTTCAAGCGATTCTCCTGCCTCAGCCTCTTGAGTAGCTGGAATTACAAGAGCACACCATCATGCCTGCCTAATTTTTTTTGTTTTTAAGATGGGGTTTCACCATATTGGTCAGGATGGTCTCAAACTCCTCACCTCAGGTGATCTGCCCACCTCAGCCTCCTAAAAAGTGCTGGGAATATAGGCGTGAGCCACTGCACCCAGCCTCTGTGCCCACACTTAATCCACACCAACTTGCACGTTTCTCTCCCAGCTCATGAAGTTCCCCTGAGGGCCTTTCTCCATCTTCTGCGTTTGACATTTTGAGCATCTTCTAAAATATCCCAAATCAAGGCCAGGCGAGGTGGCTCACACCTGTAATTTCAGCACTATGGGAGGCCAAGGCGGGCAGATCATGAGGTCATGAGTTTGAGACCATCCTGGACAACATGGTGAAAACCCGTCTCTACTAAAAAGACAAAACTTAGCCAGGCGTGGTGGCGCATGCCTGTAATCCCAGCTACTCGGGAGGCTGAGGCAGGAGAATTGCTTGAACCTGGGAGGCAGAGGTTGTGGTGAGCTGAGATTGTGCCACTGCACTCCAGCCTGGGCGACAGAATAAGACTCTCTCTCAAAAAAAAATTCCAAAGCAGCCCCAGTTTCACCCCAGACTCCCTCTCTGGAACACTAGTCAATGTGGACAGCAGTTCCTGGCAAAACCCTTGCAAGACCCCAGGGGCCCCCCCCACCCCCCCCCCGTCTCCCTCTCCTCCTCATCTATGAAGAAACATCTAGAAAGTGCCTGCATCATCATTCTCTCTCTGCACCCTTGCTCTGACTCTTTTCACCACAGTGGTGGATAGAAGCCGAAAGGTGTCAATCAGAATAAGGCCATGTTGGCCGCGTGGTGGCTCATGCCCATAATGCCAGCACTTTGAGAAGCTGAGGCAGGCTGATCACCTGAGGTCAGGAGTTCGAGACCAGCCTGGCCAACATGTGAAATCCTGTCTCTACTAAAAATACAAAAATTAGCCGGGTGTGGTGGCGCGTGCCTGTGATCCCAGCTACTTGCCCCATCCGGGTGGCGGAAGTTGCAGTGAGCCGAGATTGCGCTACTGCACTCCAGCCTGGGTGACAAAGCGTGACAAAGCGAGACTCCGTCTGAAAAAGAAAACAGAGAAATGCTTCTTCCCCAAGGTGGGTATACCCCCACCCACACCCCAAAAGGCAAATGCTGACAGCTGCCTTTGAGTGGGTAGGGAACACTTTGAAGCTTGTGTAGAACAAACAAACAAGAATCAGCAGGAAAGCTCTGATAAAAAGCCCCGCCCATCACCAAAGATGCTAAACTTTACCATTAGGGAAATCTACACTCTCCGTGGGAACTGAGTGGAGAAATTAGCCTAAGACCTCGAAACCTTTAGCAAATACTAAAGACCATCCTGGAGGGCAGGAATAGGGACACATGGGGGCCATCTGGAAAACACAGTGAGGGTGTGTCTTCGTCTCCTGTAAGCCCCAGGGCATCCCCCCACCCGTTGTACCAAAGGTGTCAGTGCAGAAATGGAATCCCTGAAGTCACCTCAGAGCCAAAAGGGGAGATTGTGTCACTGAGGTTTGTTTATGGGAAGAATCAAGAAACCACAAGGGTGGATGAAGACCCACCACTCACAGTCCCAAGGACTGCAGGCAGTCAGAAGACAAGTGACAGATGGGAGGTCCAAGCAGGGCTTATCTCCTCTCAGATAAGGACCATCAGATGGGGACAGCTAGCTGGCTATGAAATGCATGCAGAGAAGCTGGGCTTCCACCTAAGGGGAGAGCAAATTAAAGTGACAAAAGCCCTCTGGGAGGCAGCGGCGGGCTGACTGCTTGAGTCCTGGTGTTTGAGACCAGCCTGGGCTACATATCGACCTTGTTTCAAACAATAAAGTTAGTTGGGGTCAGACGTGGTAGCTCACAGCTGTAATTCCAGCACTTTGGGAGGTCGAGGCAGGGGGATCACCTGAGTCAGGAGTTCAAGACCAGCGTGGCTGATATGGCGAAACCCTGTCTCTACTAAAAAATACAAAAGTTAGCTGGGCGTGGTGGCAGCCGCCTGTAATTCCAGCTACTTGGCAGTCTGAGGCAGGAGAATCGCTTGAATCTAGCAGGCAGCGGTTGCAGTGAGTTGAGATAGTGCCACCGCACTCCAGCCTGGGCGACAGCGAGACTCAAACCAAAAAGCTGGGCATGGTGGCATGCCCCTGTAATCCCAGCTACTCTGGAGGCTGAGGTGGGAGGATCCATTGAGCCTTGGAGGTCAAAGATACAGCTAGCTATGACCATGCCACTGCTGTAGCCTGGACCACAGTGTGAGACCCAGTCTCAAAAAAAACCATGGAAGGGAAGTAGGGAGGACATCAGATGCCAGCCAGGGCCACTGGAGCCGAGGACTAGCCTTCGTGGGGCGGGGTAGGATAGCAGAGGAGAGAAGGGTTGTGTGGCAGAGGGGGTGAAGTTGTCAGGTCCAGGCTGGTGGGTGGCTTTTGCCCTCCAGCAGCCTGGAGAGGCAGGGAGGAGGGGAAGAGTTAGGTTTAATTAGGGAGGAGGAAGCAAGGAGGAAGTGCCAGGGTGCCAGGAGGATAAACGTGCCTACGGGGCAGGGTGAAGGAGAGGAGGGAACCACAAGGTGAGGCCGTGGCCTGGCTGGGTAAAAGTAGATGCGGGTGTGTGAAATGTCCAGGGAAGCAGCGGGACAGAGGGGCAGACGGCTGCGTGGGGCTCCCAGGCTAACCTGCGCTGGTTCTGGTCCCCAGGAAGCCACTGAGGAACGGCCTGGTGAAGGACAAGCGCCTCTGAACCCCTAGGCCCCGCCCCCGTGGACCCGGCCCCACCCGAAGAGCACGCCCCCGTCCTTGGCGCTTCCCCAACCCCTCCTCCAGCTCTGGTCCTCTAGGGCCCCCGCCACCTCCCTTGGGACCCCCGCCGCCTCATCCTGCCTCTGTTCCCTGGCCACGCCCCCCAGGACCCCCCTGCCCCTCTAGGGACACCGGCCCCGCCCTCAGCCCGCTGGTCCCGCGCCGCGGCAGACCCTGCACACACACTGTCCATCGCCTGGAAGGAAGATGCCACCGGCGCGGCAAGGTCCCAGCTGCCACCACCACCTCCTCCTCCTGGCCCTGCTGCTGTCCTCGCTGCCCCAGACCCGCGCCCCCGTGCCCCCAGGTCCCACTACCGCCGCCCTGCTCCAGGCTTTCGGGTTGCACGATGCACCCCAGGGCGCCCCCAGGCTCCGGCCGGTTCCCCCGCTCATGTGGCGCCTGTTTCGACGCCGGGACCCCCAAGAGACCTGGTCGGGCTCGCGACGGACGTCCCCAGGGGTCACCCTGCAACCGTGCCACGTGGAGGAGCTGGGGGTCGCCGGAAACATTGTGCGCCACATCCCGGACCGAGGTGAGTGGGACTTTCGCTGGGGACACTGGTCCCGGAGACCAGACCTTCCAGGGCGGGGGTGCCCGAGAGGTTCCGAGAGTCCCCACCTGCCCCGTCCAGGCTGCTAGCAACTTGGGCCACCTCACCCTACCCCTTCCTCGTCCTCTGCATGCTGCAGACGCCAAGGGGTTCCCAAGACCAGGTCCCCACCCCATCCCCACCCCCACTGCTTGACACCATTTAATGCCTTCCTGCAGATGTCACTTCCACACCCCAGCATGGCTTCCCCAGGGGCCCAGGCGCTGGCTCTTGTCTCCCACTTCGGCCACCCTCTTCCTAGAGATGGGGTTTCACAGCGTTGGTCAGGCTAGTCTCAAACTCCTGACCTCAAGTGATCCACCCGCCTAGCCTTCCAAAGTATTGGGATTGCACGCTTGAGCCACTGCGGGTTCCCTACAGAGGCCAGCCCGCCCCCACCCCTTCACCCTGCAGGGCGCCTTTCTTGGAACTCACGCCCTGCCCCCACTCCATCAGCCCACCCCGCCGCTTCATACCCTTCCCACCGACGGTGCACCCCCAGCCCCACCGTTCACCTTCCTGCCGGTCCGCAACCGAGACCCCATAGGCAGGCCGGGGACGCAGCGTGAGCTGAATCCTGTCCCTGCCTCCCCAGGTGCGCCCACCCGGGCCCCGGAGCCTGCCTCGGCTGCGGGGCATTGCCCCGAGTGGACCGTCATCTTCGACCTGTCGGCTGTGGAACCCGCCGAGCGCTCAAGCCTGGCCCGCCTGGAGCTGCGTTTCGCGGAGGCGGCAGAGGCTCCGGAGGGCGGCTGGGAGCTGAGCGTGGCGCTGGCTGGCCAGGGCGCAGGCGCGAGCCCCGGGCCAGTGCTGCTCCGCCAGGCGATGCCCACCCTGGGGCCGCCGGTGCGCGCAGAGCTGCTGGGCACCGCCTGGGATCGCAACGCCTCATGGCCGAGCAGCCTCCGCCTGGCGCTGGCGCTGCGCCCCCGGGCCCCTGCGGCCTGCGCGCGCCTGGCCGAGGCCTCGCTGCTCCTGGTGACCCTCGACCCGCGCCTGTGCCACTCCCTTGCCCGGCCGCGGCGCGGCGCCGAACCGGTGTTGGGCGGCGGTCCCGGGGGCGCGTGTCGCGCGCGGCGGCTATACGTGAGCTTCCGCGAAGTGGGCTGGCACCGCTGGGTCATCGCGCCGCGCGGCTTCCTGGCCAACTATTGCCAGGGTCAGTGCGCGCTGCCCGCCGCGCTGTCAGGGCCCGGGGGTCCGCCTGCGCTCAACCACGCCGTACTGCGCGCGCTCATGCACGCAGCCGCCCCGGGAGCCGCAGACCTGCCCTGCTGCGTGCCCGCGCGCCTGTCGCCCATCTCCGTGCTCTTCTTTGACAACAGCGATAACGTGGTGCTGCGGCAGTATGAGGACATGGTGGTGGACGAGTGTGGGTGCCGCTAACCAGGCGCAGGCGGGAATGCAGGCCCAATAAACGCCTGTGGGCTGCTCTGCTGGTCTCCTCGGACTCATTGCCTTGGGGGGGGGGGTTCGCCCTTCACTCCTGCAGGCAGCCCTGTCCTTTGCCTCAGTCTTCCTCTGGACTCCATACCCCGCCCCCTTACCCAGGCAGGGCCCCAGCACCCTCCATCCCCTGCAGTTCATCCAGCCCTTGGTGTGTAGGCAAAACTGTTTATTAATATTTTATTGGTGACAAAAGAACTTAAATTGACCAAAAATCAAGTTACATCGCCTTGGTACAGTGCGCCTGGGTTTGTCAAGGTCAGTGGCTGCTGCTACAAAGCTGGAGAACACAGCACAGGGCGAAGCAGAGGCAAAGTGGCCCAGCCCAACAGCTGGGGTGGGGCGGGCAGCGCCCCTCAGGCCACTGCAGGGTACAGCGGAAACCTAGCCGGGTCTGTGCCTCTACACGGCCTACCGGGAGAAGGGGAAACCGAAAGCCCTAGAGCAATGGAATAAATACGAGGCCCTGCCAGAAGGAAGGCGGCCTGTACGTCCCATCTGTCCCAGGCAGAATGACACCCCAAGCTAGGTGTTCAAGGGGCTGGAGCAGTTCTCCTACTAAAACGACCCCACACTCCCAGCCTCTCACACAGAACCTGCTGACTTCTGTGACTTGTTTCCTTACCCCCAGCAGCAGCCATCATCCCATCAGCAGAGCTGCTTGGCGGGCAGAGCTCCCACTTTGGGAGTGCGGTGTGCAGTGCCATGTGTCTAACCAGCGCAGGACTGTCGGTACCTGCTGGGGACAGGGACAGGCCCTCTTGTCCTTCCACCAAATCCTTCGAAGGACCCCAGGGAAAAGCCGTCGATCCAGGAACAGCCACCTTCTCATTCCCTGGCCACAGGGCCAGTCCTGGCCAAGGCCCCTCTCAGTGAGGCCAAAAGCACGTTCCTCACAGGCGCAGGGCCCTTCGCCGAGTCCAGGCAGGAAGCAGCTTGGCTTCTGAGTCCAGCGGAGAACGAGCAGCTTCCAGGCTCGGCGGACAGCTACCCCAGTGGCCCGATCACCCAGTTCTTGAAGCTGCTGGAAGCTAAAACCTACAACAAAAATCCTCCTCTGGGCCTAGGCACAGGTGTTGCTCCTCTTCTCCAGTGGCGCTGGCTTGTTTAAACTGTGTTTCTGGAAGCTTCTCGCATCTCCCAGGTCCACCGCTAAGATTTTAGATATAAACTTAGGAAAGTATTTTTCAGTACTCTTTTAAAAGAATTTTGGAAAAAAAAAAAAAAAACAGAAAAACCCCAAACACCGTTATTTTCTTTAAATGAAGGCCCTCTGAGAACACAGGCATCGTGACCTCGGCGGGTCCGGTCGGTGTGGACAGATGCGCCCTCCTGGGGCTCTGCCTGGGCGCCGTGGCCTTTGGAAGGAGCCTGCTCGGGCACAGAAATGCGAAGTTTTTTCCTGCTAAGACGTAGTCCCCTTTCAATCAAAGAGAAAAAGAAATAAAAGAACAGAGGAAAGGGCTACTCTGAGATGAGGGTCTTCCTCCCTCCGCCCTGGCCGCAGCCCCGGTGGGACGGAGCGGGGCCTCCTGGTGGCGGCGGCTCCCGCGGGCCGGCCCCTCCTCCGCTCCCTCTGCTCCTCGCCGCCGCGGGCCAGCAGGGGGCGCTCGGCCTCGGCTCCTCTCCCTCGTGCGCTCTCCCTTCCTGTCGCTCACACAGTGGTGCTTCAGTTTTAGCAGTGGAAAACAGGTATCCGTTTATTTTTATTTTTTAATACCCAGAATAAGATGCTGATGGACTAAGCCACATTGCTTAGCTCTTCCGCCGCCACCTGAAGGGAGCGAGAAGGGCAGGAGTCAGTGAGAGGTGGCACCTGGCACCCCATGGGCCTCCAGCACACAGGCCAATGAGGAAGAGCCCAAGCTGCCCTCCCCAACTCTGATGAGGAAACGAGGCCCCGCAAGGGTCCCACGAGCAGAGGGCTGCCCGTCAGGGTGGGGTGGTGGCCCATCATCATCCTCCTGCCCTGGACCACCATGGGAGCTTCAGGGCCTCCACACCCCTTTCCATGGGGAGCCCTAGAATTCTCTCAAGGGGAAAGTGAGGCTGTGACTGGGATACACAGGGAGCCACCCTGACTGGCGGTGAAAGTCACAGGCCCAGCACACCCCGGGGCCCGCACACATTCCCAGACACCACCCCTCTAGTGCAGCTCCCAGGGGAGAGCCCCTCCCATCCCTCTCCCTGAAGCAGGGTAGGGCCAGGCCTGCTCCAGGGGGGCTTGCCTTCTAATACTGGGATAGTCCCGTCACCCCGCCATGCTGGTAAGCCCGCTCTCCCTGGTATGTGGAGTCCTGTGAGAGCGCCACGTCAATCTGTGATTTAAACTCGTCGCCAAGGTAACTGTCCTGAAAGACAAGGTGGGGAGGTGAGCAAGCCACCAGCCAAGGGCGCTCACGTCCATCCAGCCCTCAGCAGCCCAAGAGAATGGAAAAGCTGTCCCCAAACTAACAGCCAGAGACCCATTCCGCTGACCCCAGCTCAGGGACAGGTAACCCACACAGGGTACACAGGCCAGACCGGCTCTCCAGGGGAAATGTTCCAGGTGCACAGCCCCACCCAGGTCCCCTCGGAGGGCTCCGAGAGGGCTCTGCGTGGGGCGGCCTCACCTGGGACAGCTCCGGCTGGGACAGGCCGGGCTGGCTCATCTGGGAGGGCTGGCTCATGGAGATGTAGCCCTGTGTCAGGGCGCCCTGCGAGAAGGGCTGTGACGCCACATCCTGGCTGGCTTGACTGTTGGGGAGGTTGGTCTGGCTGGGCCCAGGAAGCCCAAAGCGGTTCTTCTGGCGTCCCCCACGACCAGTCTTGCCTTTCGGGGTGCCTCGGCCTGAAAGACAGCAGTCCAGGGTGATGAGGAGGCCAGGGCCTGGAAGATACGCACACCCTCAGGAGCTCTCAGAAGGGCCACACCCAGCCCTGGCTACAGGTGCTCACCTGCAGCTGGCCCGTTGGCTTGTCCGAAATAGCCAGGTGGCGGCATGGGCGGCATGACCAGGTTGAAGGGGATGGGAATGTTCATGGCGGCCACGTGGCTGGGGCCAGCACTGATCATGCCGATCTGGTCGTGGGTCTGGAAGTACATGCTAGAGGGCCGGCCTGCAAATCACAGTCAGGCGTCACTTGCCTCGGTCAAACCCCAGCGATGTCGCCACCCACCCCACCAGCCAGTCAGCCGGAGCTACACATGTGCTGGCCCTGCCCAGGCTGAAGATGCAGATTCCCAGGACTCCATGTTGACTACAGCAGCCTGCCTGGGGCTGGATGCCTGGGCCGGCACCTTCCCCTAGGAGAGTCTGCTGGGAATCACTGGCCTACACAGATCTTAAAAACTGAAAATTGGGACTGGGTGCAGTAGCTCATGCCTGTTAATCCCAGCACTTTGGGAGGCCAAGGCAGGTAGATCACCTGAGATCAGGAGTTCAAGACAGCCTGGTCAACATGGTGAAACCCTGTCTCTACTAAAAATACAAAAATTAGCTGGGCGTGGTGGCAGGTGCCTGTAATCCCAGCTACTTGGGAGGCTGAGGCGGGAGAACTGATGGAACCCAGGAGGTGGAGGTTGCAATGAGCCAAGACTGCACCACTGTACTCCAGCTTGGGTGACAGAGAGACTGTCTGAAAAACAAACAACAAACCCCTGAAAACTGGCCGGGCACAGTGAGTCACGCCTATAATCCCAGCACTGTGGGAGGCTGAGACGCAAGGACAGCTTGAGCCAGGAGTTCAAGACCAGCCTGGACAACATAGTGAGACCCTCCCTGTCTCTAAACAAAAAAATATATGAAAAGCTCCCTCCATTTACAAAAAAAAAAAAAAAAAATCCTTTTAATAAAAATGTTCTATTTGTACTACATGCAGCCCCTACCCTACCACCACCAAAAAGCAAGAAAAAGCTAACTAGCTTGATCACCAGTAAACACTAATGAATGGACTCCGGCTAAAGACAAACGCTGGGAGGCCAAGGGAGCCAGGCCCTGCCCTCGACGGGGAGGAAAGGGGGACACCCAAAGCTGCAGCTGTGGGAACAGCTAGCATCCCAGTGTGGGGACAAAGGGGCCGGCTGGGTCTCCTGCTGAGTGACTCACCCTGGCTGCTCCGATCATAGACGGAGCCGGGGATGATGGCCTCCCGGGCATCATACATGGCTGTGGTCATGAAGCGGGCCCCCTGCGAAGGTTTAGATAGGTGAGGAATTTGTCATCTCAACACAAAGAACGACTTCCCACCAACCAGTGGCCTGGGAGGGGCAGGTGTGCCGCTGTGGGTGCTGACACTGTGCTAGGGGCTCTCTCTGGGGGCAGGAGGGAGCTGCTGTCTCATGGGCTCTGGGCCTGCCCTGTCAGCCCAACCTGGGCTCTGACGCTGACCCCTGGGACTCGGCTGAGGCAGCTTCACACCCCTCATCACCAGAGCACCCCAGGCTCGCAGACCATGTCCGAGGTCCCAGGCTGCTGCAGCACAGCAGCCAGAGCCCAATTTCAGAAGCCTCTCAGGACCTAGCAGCCCTGAACCAAACATGCCACACACAGCTCGGGAGACGGGAGTGGGCTGCCCGCCCTCAGCTCACGGGCACCGTGGACCCCTGTACCACCTTCCCAGCAGTGTTTTGGGCCCGGGTTTCTCCATGCCCCCGCTGCCCTGTGGGCACTCACCGGGTTGATGGTGTTGACCAGCTTGCGTGGCTTGCTGAACTGCATGAGGCTCTCGCGCAGGTTGTTGAGCGGCCCCTCCACCAGCACCTTCTGCTCCTTGTAGTAGTTCAGCAAGTGGTTCCAGAGCGGCTGCTTTGACAGCGCCTTTGGGTTGCCCACAATGATGACGCCATACCTGCGGCAGGGGTGCGGTGCTGAGGACGCACGTGGAGAGCTGCCCGTCTCACAGGATGGTCCAAGAGGCAAGGCTGCACTCGCTCAGAACCCAAATTCAAGGCAACAGAGGCATGGAATGGGCGAGCTGAGGTGGCGGGCAGGCTGTTGGCCACAGGGACGGGCCCTAGAGTCTAATGCCAAGCCACTGATCTTACACATGGGGTGATTTTGTGGCCAACTCTTAAGCAGCCCCATGGCAGACACCAAGCTGGGTGGATACGCTTGGAGACAGGGTCTGCTGTCAAGAGTTGGCCTTCCAGGCACTGGGCACAGGCAGTCCCACAAAGCCCCCGGTGGGGTGGGGCAGACTCGATACCCAGCTCCTCTGGCCCACCTCACACAGCTATGGGGGGGACCCACCCGATACTGCCCACCAGACAAGAAGGCATCTTAAAAAGAGGCAATGGGGGGGTATCGACCGTGCGGGGGTATTAACAATGATAAAAATCACCGTGACCTACGCGGGGGCCATGGTGCATGTGAGCTGACGGAGTGCTGGGCTCTCTTCCTGCGCTGGGTGGAGCCAGGCCCGTAACTGCCAGCTGGCAAGTGGGTCCTTATGGTTTATTATTTTTTTTTTTTTGAGACAGAGTTTCGCTCTTGTTGCCCAGGCTGGAGTGCAGTGACACCATCTCGGCTCGCTGTAACCTCCACCTCTCAGGTACAAGAGATTGTCTCAGCCCACCAAGTAGCTTGGATGACAGGCATGCGCCACTACGCCTTACTAACTTTTGTGTATTTAGGAGAGATTGGGTTTCGCCATTTTAGGCTGATCGAGAACTCCTGACCTCAGGTGCTTCACCCTCCTGGGCCTCCCAAAGTGCTGGGATTACACGCATGTACCACCGCACCCGGCCTGCTGTCTGGCTTTATGTAGGACCACAGAATGGACACTGTGTTCTCGGAGTCCCTTCTGCTATCATCAGTTCAGAAAAGTTGTATCTCAGAACCAAAATAGTAGACGGGACCACAACTTCAGGCTCTCAGACTAAATAACTAGACAGACACACACAGGGTTTATATGAATCAGACCAGAGGCCTGCTGGGCTGACGCACAGGGACCACAGCAAACCCTCAGGACACAGAAACAAAGATCTCCCAAGTGAGGCATCATTTCTCAACTGCTGCTCTGGGCCCCCTGACCTCTGGTCCTGGCGACCCCCGAACCCTAGCCCAAATCCCCTGGGAAGTAAAGGCTGATGAGGAGCTGGGCACCCCACCCAGGAGGCAGCCTCCCTACCTTGCTCTGGTCAGGGCCACGTTCAGACGTCTGGGGTCATTTAAAAACCCAATGCCTTGGTGCTCGTTGGCCCGAACACAGGAGAGGATGATGAAGTCCTTCTCGCGTCCCTGAAAGGCGTCCACA